GAAGAGCTTCAGAGTGTTTCCCAATGGCAGCAACTCCATTATTGGTACCTCACTCACCACTCAAGGGCTTGTCGCACAGCACATCTACGGCCACACTGCTCAGCTCAGGCCTGTTTAACAACTCCATGTCCAGCCTCATTCCCAGCCTGTCTCAGGATTTGAAGCACCTGTTCACAAAGTGGGGGAGAGGAGGCCACATTTCATAACCTCAGGCCTTATATGGATCTAAACATTAGAGCAGGTGAATAATATCAATAATTGACATTTAGTATCCTAAAATCTGGAAAGTATGATGTATACGCTATCTCATTTGAACATCACAGCAACCTTGTGAGGTAGAACCTCCAGGTATTATTATCCCTCATTTTACAAATTAAGAAACTGAAGATTGGAAGAGGTTAAGTCAATTACCATTAGTAACACAGCTAAGAAGTGTCAGAAGTGAAATTCAAAGCCAGGTCTTTCTGATTCCAAAGTCAGCACTCTACTTGCTAAGATAGGGGTTCTTAACCTTGTTTAGGTTATGGACCCCTTTGATGGTAATCTGATGAAACCTAGGAACCCCTTCTCTGAATCACGCTTTTAAATTCAAAAGCAAAATATATAAGATTATAAAGCAAACCAATTCAATTGAAATAGTTATATATATACATATATATACACATATGTATATATAAAACTATTATGTTTACATACATGCATATGTATATAACATATATGTATATATAACTTATTTCACCATAATTGCTTTATATATACTACATTGTATATATTTCATATAATTTATATATATAAATTATTGTGTGCATACATATATGTACACACACATATATATACATACATATATACATATATATACACACATATACACACACACACACACACACACACACATATATACATATGATATAAGCTCATGGATTTCAGTTTATGGGCCATTTCATTAAGCTATATTGCCTTACCAAAGCTGCAATTCCTATATGGGGCAAAGTAGAGGGTTCCTTACTGGGCATAATTTCAGGAGTTTGGGAAGCCCCTCTCCCCTACTACCTTTTTTATTTATTCACAGATACTTTAAATTTCTTTAATAAAGTGATCTGTGAGAGGTAATGAACTGTTTAATTTACACTTAGGTCTAAGTGACTGACAACAGATTTTTTCTGAGGACAGATTCTGAGGGGCAGATGGTGATAGATGAAAAAGGCTTTGGGTACCTGAGAATGGTGGGGGTTGGGTGGGGAGTAGGAAAAGGGTAATAAAAGTCAAGCTTCACTTACTTCATAGCTTTACCTAGTGCTGGCCTTGCAGAGCATATTTGATACATATTCTTTACGTGGAGTGGGGTGAGGAAAAGGAGGTTTGCCACCAGTTTTGGGCAATCCTAAACTCTTCCACTTAGGGCAGGATTACTGCCATATATAATTTTAATTCAGTTCAATTCAACAAACGTTTATCAAGCACTATTGTGTGCAGAGCAACTTCTGTCTTAGACATCTTATCACGTGTTCTATTACCACCTACATATCTTTTGTTTGTCTACTTCTTGCTCTGGGAATGGTCATCAAATTGATGCTACCATTGTTTCTGGAACGGACATGATAATTAACTTACCTATGGCACCACTCATCAACTCTTCTCCTCAGGCCCAAAGTCCATTCTGTAGCCATCATTGCCATTTATTTTTAGCCTTCCATCATTACAAAAATAGAAAATCCCTGGGGGCATGGACTGTATTTTGTATTTGTATCCTAAGTACTCAGCATAGTGTTTGACACATAGTAGTACTTAATAAAGCCTCATTTACTAATGGAATCTCTGCCATCATGAAGCTTACAGCCTAGTAGGGTGGACTCAGATTAAAATGCATTGCTCCTCGCAAGTCACAATAACAGCTATCCCTTCATAGATAATACCTAAATTGCATTGGCACACGGACATAGCAGCTCACTCCTTTCCTTATTCACGTAGTCACTTGCTCTTTATGCAGGCAGGAAAAATCAGTTTCTCAAGGGCAGAAAATTACCAGGAATAGGAAGGGGGCTTCCATTACACATGAGCAACACTCAGGTGCTTGATGTCACAGGTGAGCTAATGGGGAGCACTTGTTTTCCACTGGGTTTGGGAGATGGTTAGATGACTGGGTTGTCTGTAAAAACTCAATTATCATAAATTCAGTGAATACATATTAAACAATCTAAGGAGTTCTTGGGAGTTCATGGCAGTCCTATGACTGGTTTGGAAAGCCAGGTGGGTAAGACAGGCAGAGAGAAGAGAAACAGCTGAAGCATATGGTAATGGGGATCGGGAGCACGTAGGCGCCCTTCTTGGCTGAGTGATTAGAAAGTGGTGTATCCATATTGTGGGTTATATAACTTCATTGCCCAACATTGCCCAGAGAGGGAACTCCCTACTTTCCTGCCATAATACAGACATACTTTGGAAATAAAATTGTTTGTCCTCACCAGTGGCAGTGATCCATAGACATAGGAAGAAGGGGTTGGGGCGGATTGAGAATTGGGTTAATTAGAATTTGTGGTCATCCTACACAATCTTTTTTTTTTTTACGCAATTGGGGTTAAGTGACTTGCCCAGGGTCACACAGCTAGTAAGTGTCAAATGTCTGGTCTGAGGCCAGATTTGAACTCAGGTCCTCCCGACTTCAGGGCCAGTGCTCTATCCACTGCACCACCTAGCTGCCCCCTTTCCTACACAATCTTAATGGACTATTTTAGATCTTGGGCAGCAACAGAATAAAGAAAGGTATTGACAAGCTGGAACATATTCAGAAGAAGACCATCAGGCTGGTGAGGGGACTATAGACCATATACAATTCAATTCAACTCAACAAACATGGGGATCATTTGGAGGAACTAGAGGTGTTTAGACTGAAGATGAGACTCAGATGGGTCAGGGTAGCTTTTCTGAAAAAAAAATTGAAAAGTATTCTAACTGCTGTCACATGGAAGAGGAATCAGATTATTTCTCTTTGACCCCAGAGGGAAGAATTAGCAGTAAATGGATAGAACTTGAAGAAAAGCAGACTTAAGCTTAATGTAAGGAAAAACTTCCTAACAATTAGAGTTATCAAAAAGTAGATTAGGATGCCTTGAAAAATACCAGATTCCCCTTCACTGGAATTATTTAAGCATAGGTTTGATGATCACTTGTCAGGGATATTGTAGAGCAGAATTTCTGTTCAAGTACACATTGAACTGGATCACCTCTAATGTCCCTTTCATCTTTAAGACTATGATTCCTGTAAATGTATAGCCTATATGAGATTGTGGGCTGTCTTGGGGAGGGGGGTGGGGAGGAAGGGGAAGAAAATTTTTAAACTCAGAAGCATATGAAAGTGATTGTTGATAAATCAAAATAAATTAACAAAATTTTAAAAAAAGACTGTGATTCCTTCTGAATGTTGTCCCAAGTTTTTGTTGGGGACCTATAGCAACTTTCTTTGCATCTGTTAAACCTGAACCTGACTCAGGAAACATTTTTTCCAAATCAATTTTCAAGGCTCCTTGGAGGGAGTTGTGGTTTGGGGAAGAATTTACTAGCTTCTTGGCTAGTGGTTTGCAGATACTAGGAGTACTGAAGTTTCTAAATGGAGATTTTCTCTTTAGGCCTGCCTACATGATGCAAGTCTGCCTGGAGTAGATGGCAAAGGGTGAGAGAAATCTCTGTGCAAATGGTGCTGGTGATTGGTGTCTATTAGTACAGGGACAAAAACTGCATTGTTGCTTACAGGATAGAGAAGGAAGACGATACAAGACAACCTTCCCATGTGAATGAGTTCTGATCCATAAAGCGCTAATTATAATTGTGTCTTGTAGAAGATAGCCCGTTTTCTTGTAAGACCATAGAGTGTAAGGAGTTAAAGAAACCAAACCATTACTTAACCACAGTTAGTCCTGCCCTTCTCCTCCACACGAAGGCAATTTCTCCCCTCACTTAAGCAAGATTAGAGAGGAATCTGAATGAGACAAAACTCTTCAGGGATTCAGAGGATGCTTTCCTTGCTTCTTCCTGCCTCTCCTCCTTCTTGTACACATGCCCATGCTGTGAGTAACTACTGCATTCCATACATGAAGGCCAACATTGCTGACCATGTCATGAAACAAAGGGTCTCCCATCAGCCCGATGCACATGAAGGACGCTGAGGAGGTCTGGGGGGTTCAGAAGAAGAGCTCGTCTCTGTGACTTCAGAGAAAGGGGCCACAGAGATGCCAAATAAAATCCATCTTGGAGAGAAGCCAATTACGCTCATTGCCTTGCCCATTCCTGCAGAGTTTAGCATCTGTTGGGAATGACACCAGAGTAGGCAAAAATTCCCAACCATCTGATTCCACTGCAGTACCTCTGTCACCACAACCCCAAATACCTTCCTGCCCTGCCACGGTATGGATATTTCAAACTTAATGACAATTTAAGGTGGAAAGTTGTCTCCAGGATTACCTACTATCTGGCAGGCAGGTGGCCCGAGGCAGATGGGGGCAGGTCAGCTTCTAGTAGGCTAGGGGTAAGAACATTGGCAACGAGATAGAGCCAGATGGGCTAGCTCTGAACTAAAGGTAATTCCGGTAGAAAGTCAAGTAACTGCAGCTTAGCCTGCACCCCAGAGGCCAATACTCCTTCAAAATCACTGCAGCAAATTCAGCCGCTCTTGAAGTCTCAGTGCGGGGGAGCCTTGGGGCGGCAGCAGCAACAGCAGCAGCAGGTGCCAACTGATCCACCCCACACGGTACCACGCATTGCACTGCAGACTTGGGTCTCCGTCAATGGAGCGGATTTTACATGCCCAGCCCTAGCCACCCACCTGCTCCTAAGGGACCCAAGGAAGGCATGGCTCAGGCCACGGTGGGCCAGGTCTGGCTGAATGAGATATAGTGTCTCCTCATTAGAGACTCCCCTAAACGTCTGCGGACGGCTTGAGGATTTCCATCTCCCTGAACTCTTCCCTCCTCCCCTCCCCCCACAGGGCAGTGGTATACATGCATTACCTTCCACTTTGGTTAGAGTAAGGACCGGACTGTTGCAAGCGCTGAGAGGGGCTACCCTGGCTGAGTGTTTCTTCATGATGAGCCCGTCTGCCTGCAGGAGCTCTTCAGCTGATTGCCTACATCCTGGAGCCGGCTGCAGCAGGAGTCCCTCTCCTTTCCCTATTTTCAACACAACCACTCCTTCTTATAGAAGTGTGAGTGTGGGGGCTTCTTGCGTGTTTTGTGTTTCTATCTCCTCTCTCCTTTTCTCTTCCTTCTCTTGTCTCTCCGTCTCTCTCTCTCTCTCTCTCTCTCTCTCTCTCTCTCTCTCTCTCTCTCTCTCTGTCTCTCCTCCCTCTTTTCTTCTCTCTCCTCTCCGTCTCTCTCTCTCTCTCTCTCTCTCTCTTCTCTCTCTCTCTCTCTCTCTCTCTCTCTCTCTCTCTCTCTCTCTCTCTCTCTCTCTCTCTCTCTCTCTCTCTCTCTCTCTCTCTCTCTCTCTCCCTCCCCCCCCTTCCTCTCTCTTCTCTCTTGTCCCTCTGCTGCCTGTTTTGGATACCCTGACTGTTCTCGCTGCAGCAACAGCACAGCAGCTCCTCCTTGGGCTCTCACACACGTACACGCTCACACTCACACACACACACACACACACACACACACTCAACCTCCTACTTTAAGGTTGTTATAAACCACAACGTCACAGGCAAATCACTCCTCACTCCAACCCCACAGCCTCACCTGCTCTACCCCAGGCATTTAAGAGCAAGGATATATTCAGCCCGTGACCCTGAGGCTCTGGGTTCTGTAGATGGAGGAGGAAGCAACCTTGTGGGGCGGGAGCATTCCCCACCCCACCCCTGTCTCCATCTCTGTACAACGGAGTGGCAGCTTCTCAAGCACTCCCCGACCAATTTTCAAAGGGGATCAGTCCACCAATGGGGTGGTGGACACCTACTATTTAAAATATTTAAGCCAGGTAACTTTGCTGCTGCTAGATAGATAGATAGATAGATAGATAAACAGAGTTTCAATTTGTGATTAGTAGAGTGAGCAATACTTCAAGCAAATTCCTGAAATCACTTCTCACAGGAGAATATAAAGGAAAAGAAACTGTAGGCTCATAGGACCTTCTTTAGGATCAACGGTGGTACATTATCATTTCTTATTCTGTATAAAGTTTTCTTTCGGAAAGTCAAGGGCAATAACAAATTCAAGAAGCTGGGAGAACAGAGAAGTAGAGAGAGGGTCTGAGCTGAAACCCACCTCTATTCCCCAAGTTCTTCCCAAGGAGTCCTACTCTCCTTGTGAAGCCTGTTCAGGTTATGAGCTTCCGGTTACAATTGCTTGCCAAGTAGGTAAGAGAGATTTTGTGACCAACTGCCTCCATTCAGAGGTCTTCAAGCTGCTAGCCAAAGATTTACAGGCTGCTAGGCGCTGGCGTGGATAGAGCATGGGACTTGGAGTCAAGAAGTCTTGCCTCAGATACTTACTAGCTGTGTGACCCTCAGCAAGTCACTGAACTTCTCTCTGTCTCAGTTTTCTTATCTGTAAAATGAAGATAATAAGAGCCTACCTCACAGACTTGTTGTGAGGATCAAATGAGTTAACATGGGTAAAACTTTGCAAACCTTAAGGAGCTATATAAATGCTAACTATTATTAGATGGCAGTGATTTTACTGTGGTATCAGCATGCATAGATAAGTATTGAGTGCCCAGATTAAACATGTTTTTGGGGAGTCCCAAAAGTTTTAGTACAGTTAAAAGCTCTTAAAGTTTAAAATTGGCAAGTCCAACTATCCTCATCACCTCAACTAATTTTAAGGTGTTGAAGCTTAAAACTGCATCAAGACTCCTGAGACATCCAGTGTAGTGATTATAAAGTGCTTTGCTATTATCCCAGCATGTTTAGAGAGTAGCAAGGAATGCTTCTGTTGTCCAAGTTCTCCGAGTGTTGTCTCATTCATTCTCATGTCTGGGGAGGTGGAAACCCTGGGCATTTGGGAACCTATTGTAGAGATGCAAACGCTGAGCTTTAGAGTGGCCATGAGGTTTGGCCAAGGTTAGGCAGTGAGGCCAGTGGCAGCTGGAGGGATAAGAATTATGGTCCCACATCAAGTTCCCAGAAGCTTTGCTGTTTCTCTAAGCCTTTTATATCGGGACCTAAAGGAAGCAAACTTTTACCAAAAGAGAATGCTTTTCAGGCCCTCCCTCTACCCAAAGCCCCTAAACTATTCCCAGTGTAGACATTACCCATAATTCACCTGAGATTTTGTTTTGCCTTACAATTTCCATAGCTATACTATTTAGTATGTGCCAATATTTCCATTAAAATCATTCAGGATTTTTAACTTAGTTGTCACCCTGAAGTGCATTTCAACTCAATTGTAACCCAAGCCACTAATGTGTGTGTGTGTGTGTGTGTGTGTGTGTGTGTATAAACACATTGAAATGACAAATAATTTTTCTAAAAAGGAATAATATTTTCAGGTTGGCCATAGGAGTCTTTTTTAAATTTCAAGAATATAAAAACAGCTTTTCATTTTTATTCAATATAGTTGTCAAGTTATTTTCTTCTCTTTAAAAAAAATTAAATACAAAGCAAAATTAAATAAAAATGAATTCATATCAAACATATGGAAACCGTTGTCCCTTGCCCTCATGGGAACACTTGATTTCCAATATTATTTAACAAAGTATTTCTTTTTAAAATATATTTTATTGATATCTGCCTTTGTTTTACTAAATTTCCCCTTACATACCTCCTTCCCCCCTTTTCCTTGGAATATGATATTTCTAATTTTATCCTTACCAACAAGTGATTATCAAGCACGTATGGTATGCAAGATGCTACATTAAATAATAGGTGAGCAAGTTGCCAATCTACCTTCCTACTTTCATGGATATCAGTTCTCATCAGTACTGATACTTCCACTGAGCAGGTAAAAACTTCTCCATGCCTTTACATTGTATGTGATTCTTACTGACTTCTTTCTGTGGATTCTCTATAGAGTATCTACCAAATGCATTGATCCTTTTCATTTAGAGTGGGTACCAGCACAGCACTAGGGCTGTCTGTCTCTTATTCCCCATTTCAGTTACATAATCAGTTCACCTTTTCTATTCATATATACCCTTGATTTTATGTGATTACTTATAATAAACATAAAAAAATTTATGTATCTCCATTTTGTGATATTTATGTACTCTCCCTTTGCTTCTGGTGCTGTGAAAAGATAGCTAACTAGATTTGGTATCCAAAGACTTGGGTTTAATCTTGGCTTTGCTGTCTCTGGGACTTTATGGAAGTCACACAGATCTCGACCTCTCTGAGGCTTGGCCTTCTCTCATTTGTGAGATGAACACTGTACGGTTCTTTAAAGCCCTTTCCAGCTTTAAATGAGGCAGCTACATGGTACAATGGATACAGCACTGGACCTGGAATGAGGAAATCCAGAGTTCAAAGCCAGTCTCAGAAACTAACTAGCTCTGTGACTGTGGATAAGTCACTTCAACTGTAAAATCGGGATAATAATATAATAGCACCCAGCTCCCAGAGTAGTTGGAAAGATCAAATGAGATAATATTTGTAAAGCACTTAGCACAGTGCCTGGAACAATTTATTTCTTTCCTTAAATCTTAAGATCCATTATATTGACAGAGAAACTGCTACTGATCTAATGCTATTTCCCAAAATTTGAGTATTTTCCACCACTGTATATATTGATTATATTAATGTTTTCACATCTTCACATCTAAGTGCTATTGTGATGGGTTCAACAAGCATCTACATTTACTAAATAATTAGCCAGGGTAAGGGATGAAGTCGGAGGCCATGGAACATTTTTTTTTTCCTAGAGGAAACTAATTTACCCTTTTAGGGTTTAAACTCATAATCTTGACCACGATAGAACAGCTCACCAACCAACTGAGCCAATCAGCTGTGAAGTCCTGGAAAACTGCCAGACTAGCAGCATGAAGCAATGCCTGCTCCTCCAGGAACACTGTTGGACCGAATATGAATAGAGAAGGGAAGACTGCAGGATACCCAAAGAGACGGTAAGCTGAAACATAGCAGCTACCGGGAAGGTGGATTGAAGGAATGCTGTCAAGCACCCTGTGACACAGCCTCAACTGCTGTCACACCAGAGGAGACAGAGAGGAAACTGCACCAGGCAGAGAGATCAGGTTTGTTTGTAGTAGTGCCAGGTAGGCAGGATCTTTTCACGCCAGTCTCTCAAGGGCTCGACACAATGCAATGCTTAACAATTCTACCTGCTCAGTACAGTTAAATATCAGACAGTGTCACACTTTGCAAACAGTCAACACAAACAGGAAATAAAAGGCAATTTCATATGGACACAACATCAAACAAGGCTGATGCTCACACTGTTCAACTATAATTACACACCCAAATGGTAACCATTGGGTTTAATTATATGCTTATAAGACAATCTTCTGTCTATATACAGTAATCAAGAGAAAGAATTCTTGAGAATCTTTGTTTTTCTTTTTAAAAAATTAACAATATAATTATTATAGCAAATTTTCTCCAAACAACAGGTTGAACACATGAACTAAGTAAGAGGAACAGTGTACTGTGTCATCAAATAAAGAGATCATATATAATCCCTCTTGGAGTGAAATAAACATGAAAATGTTATTTCAACACTTTTAGAGGAAGGAGGAAGGAAGGACATCACTATTTTGTTGATAATGATTCAGAAGGTGAAACACAGGAAGTTAAGTAATAAGTTAAAGAAGAACAGTGACAGAATAAGGAAAAAGATGGGTATTTCCAGTTCTCCATTCCCTTCCAACTATTGCACTACATGTCTTATAAACTCCTCTTCCCCAGTTTGCCATTAAATTGCCGTAAAACACTGAGACACTAACTTGACAATGCTGTCATGATTTCCTTGTGTACACAAAGAGGCGATGAGATATTCACCTCAGGCAGTTTGTTTTATGGACTTCTTCAAGCTAAAGACAATACTGTATTTCACTGTATAATTGTCATAGATTTTAGGACAATTTTTTTTTTACTTTTTGCAAAAAAGTGGTATGCAATCATTATGTGAATCTTTTTAAAAAAACTGTGCTAGTATTACTTAAAAATCATTTATTACTAAACTATATCATTGGCAGAGGAACTATACAGTTTAGCTAGAGTGGGAAGATGCAAGTCTTACTATGTCATGTGACTTACTCATGGCAGCTTTGCTTGCCTACAGCTCTTCTTTGGGTTGAACGACAATACCATTAGTACTGCAGCTCTCTAAACAAACCACACAAGTTGGCTTC